CATTCTCGACTACAGTTATACTATTTTGTGGGGTTTACCGCAAGCTTTGAAGGAGTGGTTTCATTTTCCGCCAGAATTCTCCTGGGTTCTTTGATGCAGTAGTTGCATATGTGCAAATTTCCTTGACACCTTTGCGTTTGAAAGAAGTGACTTCGTTACACTGTCTTTTATTGCATTTGCACGTTTCAGTTGAAGGATCTCTTCTATGGTGCTTAAACATCCTGTTTCGTTTTATTTCTTGTTGAATTTCAGGTGAAATCCACAACAGTTGGTCACCATGTAGCCATTTTTTCTTTATCCGGGCATGTTGATCGAGAATATTCTTGTACAAGGAACTCCAATGAGCTCACACATCGTCTGCAGTATTATAACTAAAAGCAGTTCCCCAGGGAACCTCTTTGAGATCAAACAAAACAGTTCTTGGTCAAAACGTTTAAGGCTACAATATTTAGCAAATCGTGGCTTTGGGCTCAGTAGTTTGTTCTTCCTTACTACGTAGATCAAGTTGTGATCACTGAGACCAAACTGTAACACTCTAGAAGTTGAAAATCGCTCCTGATTACTAGTTAAAGCAGCATCAATTAAGCTTTTCATTGTTGAGGTGACACAAGTTGGTTCAGGAATGTTGTTTATGAAAAAAAAAACTCTCGCAAAAATCAACTAAATCTCTAAACTCTATCCACTGGAGGTAGGTGCACAAGAAAAGATACCCCAGACAGACGACATAACCGACGAAACCGTTCCTGCTCTAATGCGGAATAGACCTCTAAGAACCAAGGCCATGGAAGCTATGCGAAAAATAGCTGATTGGGCAAGGAAACGTTGTGCAACCCCAATGGATGTCGAATAGACTTCTAAGACGCTAGTCACATTAACAGTTGTCCCTTTGTTTGCTAATAAGCTTGTTATCATTCGCAGTCAGCGGTCTTGTCAGTTAGGATAAGTTTCGGATAAAAAGTACATGGTTTTGTTCTTTGCTTACCGGTAGTTTTCTCTTTGACTGCCATTGCTGTATTCGTTCATTGTTCAATGTAAATATCTACGGTTCTCAGCAATACAGTTAATTCAAGTTGTCTTTGCCTACTCTCTTTGATTATGACTCGTGTCTACGCGACAAATGTTACCAATGTTGGTCATCATTTTTCCAATATTGGTATGGCTCTTTCATTTTCCAACATTGGTAAATGTACATACAACACTTTACCAACATTGGTATGTTGAATTAAGAAACTAATGATTCCCCAAGCATCGTCCAATAAAATTCCATTTTTTACCAACATTGGAATATCAAATTTTTTTTTGAGTGTCAATAGAATATTATAGATTTTACTTTTGGAAGTTGACATGGCAGTTATTTAATTGTACATGTAGTCCATGGGCCAGAGCAGGTTCTTGGTACCACTCGGGGGGAGAAAATTTTAGTGATATCTCATGAAAGGTAACCTTATAGAGATTACAGATACGCATGATAACTATTGTCAAAGAGTAGTTTTCAGTTGTTTCTGTTTACTTCTTTTTTAAAAAAGATACTTCTGTAACATGGAAGCGAGGTTAACATCACAAATTATCTTTAATGCATTATAAATCAATAAATTTTATTGATTTATTGTAGATGAATGAGTACATGTTAAAATAAAAAATGTTTCTAAAAATTTTCTGAGGTTAAAAAAGTAAAACATATTGTTTAATCATACAAAAAAGCCACATAAAACAATGAAGCCTAAACCTGCAAGGCATCATGGTAGTTTCCAAGATGGCGGCCTCACTACACGGTAATTGTTTTTAAGTTTTTGCCTAATCTTTTCCGTTGTGGACTCTTTTTACCAAGTAACATAGAGCAAGGAAGTTTAAAAAGTCATAGTCGATTTGAAAAGACTTTTTACCGGACTTTAAAGCATTTACATTCCTACTGGATATAAAAACTTAAAGACATTCTAGAGCTGTCAACAATTACTACACAAAAAAGATTATGAAAAAGAAAATATGGAAGCTTAAATGATGCCTTATAACTTAATGTAACAGTTAAAGTTAGTGAATCTCACTCAGATGAAACAAAGTATTGTAAAGTAGAGTCACACACTTATAATACACTGTTTGAGTTTATTCGCTCAAATTTGGTAGAAAATCCAGTTCTTAAGTTGGTTGATCTCAGAAAGAGGCTTATGTCCTACAGGCAGACAATTGGCCTTACTGAAATAACTGAATTAACAAAAAAGCAGAACAAGAATTTGGTGCCTATTGCAGTTTGAAGATCTTATGGACAACAATAAGCTCTTTGTTCTTCCAAAAAATGTTTCAAAGGCTCAATTGGCCAAAGAGGTGCTGAATTATCTGAGAAATTAGAAAGCAAGAATTCGCAATCAAAAGAAAAGAAATTCAGCAAGCTAGCTTTTACATATGTGATGCAATTCACTCAAATCCTTTGAAAACGTCATGGCCACCAAAGCCCTCTGAACTATGTGAGAGTGCAATCACTCTTCCAGCAGTGGATACCTTTCTTTACACCCTCATGAACGGCAACACAGAAGTCCCAACGGAATATCCTCAACGTGTCCGACGCCTTATGAGCTCCTTTGGCCAAGACATTATATAATGGCGTAACTGGAGGACGACAGGTACCTCCCAAGCAAATAATATTGAACTTATTAGGATGCTAAACCGCTCTGGGCATGGGATTGCATATTCACAAATGGAGGAAATCAACACTGTGCTTTGCCTACAAAAAATGGCCTTGGCGCATGACAATGAAGATCCTTTACCTGAAAAGATCCAATCATATGTTCAAACAACGCTTGCCTGGGACAACATTGATAGACTAGAAGAGACCCTATCTGGTGCATGAAACTCACATCGAGTTAATGGTTTGCCATCCAAGCCATTGCATTTTGGCCTGATCCTTCCTCAGGCACAGAATTGAGCAAGCCTAAATGAAGAAAAGAAGCACTGATTCCTCAATAACTTCCATTGTCCCACCATCCAACCCTGGTGAATGCTGTGGTCCTCAAGCGACAGCATTCGTTGAGGTAACATCAGAACACATCTTGCCGGAAGCAAGAATTAAAAATTTGCTTTGGACATTAGTACGACTCCAAGCTAAAAAGAATCACAAAGTCAGCGGCTGGACAGGTTTTAATATTTTTGTCCGTAACAAGGTTGAAGTCTCACAAGGTTCTAGTAAAGTCACTGAAGACCAAAACACCCTCAAGTTCAAGAACATCGCTCTTGTCTTTGACCAAGCACTATATGCAAAGGCATCAGCAGCAGTGATCCTTATTGTGGTAAGGATGGGACGGCCTGTACCATGTTGTCAATTATTGGAAAGCGTTTCCAGGATGCCGGGTTGAGGGAGCTGTGCGTCGAATCTGGTGAGCTAACAGAGGGCTCTGTAGCAGGAGTTATAGAAGGTTGTAGGTATAATCGTGGTGTTAGACTCCACAAGCTTGTGTATGAAGCCCTTATGAGACTGGTATTGCAAGGATTCGGGCCCTGGATAGAGGAGAATCACGCAGAATCCAAGACAATTGTTTTAGTGAGACTGGTGAGTTATATGAGGATATCATTCTGTGAAAAGCAGTTCCATGAGCAGCGCTTATAGTGTTGACTTCTTTTTCACCAGTACATAGAGTTCCTCGGCCACAAGAACAGCAAGCCGTCCGAGTTCTGATTATCTTACCTTGATATGGCAGAGATTCTCCTTGGACTTCTGAGAGCATCAAGGGAAGGCAATTGGGAACTTCATGTTTCTACAGTAAGGAAGATGATCCCATGGTGTTTCACATATGACAAGGTTAATTATGCACGATATTTATCTTCCTATCGATCAGAAATGTCTCACCTTGCAGAAGAGCATGCGGAGCTGTTGGCTTAATTCAGGGCTGGCAGCTTCTCAGTACAGATCAGGGGCAGGAATCCATTCGGTAAAATACCAGAAGATGAACCTGTGAAGACACTGAAAATAAAGACACAAAGATGGCAGAGGGGCATGAAAGGGTTCAGCCTGAAGCCGGGAGCCATCAGCTATCTCATCACAGAGTACCGAAGCACATTCATGCGACAACTGAAGGATATGCTCAACATAGGCACCTCAACTACTTTTCAACACACTAATCTTCAATGAACTCGCATAGCCAAAGACGAAGATGAAGGTGTGAAATCATAGATGTCAATGCGCGAAGGAAGCTGAATCAGTCCTCTTAAGGGCGAACAACAAGACCTTGTTTGTCTATCTACTGGTAAGCTCACTACCCCTGAGATAGAGAACGATCTGCTTCAGGTAGAGGCTTTAAGAGTGAAGGCTTATAATTAGTTTTGCACTGACAGGCTCGAATCTGACCCACCGAAGGTAAAGTTTCATGACAAGATGACAAAACGTAAACTTAAAACATTTGGTGATCTCTCGAAAAAGTTGAAAGTACAAGGGGAGTCGGGCAAGGAAGTAATAATTAAAGTGGATTGTGCGCTCTTTGCCCAGACAACTATCATCGCTGAGAACAGGAAGCTGAAGATAAGTGATATGTTGTGCCACCCACTCGAGCCTCTTCCTTCAGCCCTAGCTTCGGCTGAAGAATCGCAGGAAAAACCAACAACGCATCACTTGCCAAGGAGCTATATAGGAATCTAACTGCAGCAGATGTAATTCCGCAGCCATGTGTGGTCGTTATCGATGGAATGGCAATGGTTCAGAAGCTTAACGGCATGGTCTACCGCGACAATTCGATCAAGAATGCCCAGCGAGAAAAGCGTGGCTCAGAAACTGGTCATGAATTCAGGTACATCAAGGCAGATCACAAGATACATCAATGGTGAATATTCCTATCCAATGCTAAGAATAGGTCGCTCTTGATCAAATTCATCTCAGAAGAATGGCAAAATGACAGATGCATAGGCTTGCTGGAAAGATAGTCTTTGTAACCACAGAGAAACACTGCTAGGAAATATCTTTAACTGGAGCAACAACAAAGGAAGAGCTCAAGTCGACACAAGAGGAGGCCAATACCAAAATGTTTCTCCATGCATCTCATGCAGCAGCAGCAGGATACAAAGCCGTCATTATTACATCAGAAGATACAGACGTTTTTGTTCTCTCTTTGGCTTTTACAGGTTTCATACCATGTTCTGTGTTTGTTAAATGTGGCCAAGACTCGAACAACACACATCGATGTGTCAAGTGTTGTTCGGATGTTGGACCCAGAACTATGAAGATCTCTCCAAGGTCTCCATGCCTTCCATGGCTGCGACAGAGTCAGTGCTTTCTCTGGAAAGAGGTATTAGCTTTGAAGATGGCGAGACAAAGCAAGTCCTTCCAAACTTTTTTTCAGGAAATAGGTACAGAGTGGAACATCACATTATCATAATCGTTATCATTATTATTATAAATATGGCAGTAACTCATCCTTAATTATTATGAATTCTTCAACGCCTTTGCACTCTTACATAGTTATTCTGTGCGAACAAGGGAAAATTGACCCGCAACAGCTACCTCCCTGTGCTGATTCTTTAAGGACGCACTCTTTGAGGGCAAACTACCAAGCATTTAGTTTGAGAAGAAGTCTCCAGAGCTGCCCTCAAGTCTCTTCACCTATTGGTCACAGATGAGTTTAAGAGGACAAGTTATTCGTCAAGTTATTCGTCAAATGGATAAGTAGTGAACCAGCTCCTGCAGCTTTTTTTGAGTTTCTCTCCCGTTCCTGTGCAAGATCATGCAAGCTACCCACCTGTATGTGCCTTACAAATGGCCTTAAATGCACTGACATGTGCCGGCTTCGTGACTGCAACAATCGTGTTGAAGAGGAGGAGTTACCTGACGACGAGGTGGATGAGAAAGATTACCATACTACGAAAAAACAATTCATCACACTAGAACATATTGCAGTTGAAAAATTGTGAAACCATAAGTCCTTCACAAAAATTTATATATTACACCTCATAAAAAAGGAATCATTGGCATAAAAGTAACAGATCTTGATCTACTCCACATTTTAAAATATTTTTATAATATGTATTTTCCAGATGTGTTTTGATTCAGAAATGATGACTCTTGCAGTTTTCAAGTACTTTCACCACATTTTGCTTTAAATTTATCCCTTCTTTATAATCATGATGGTGGATGTAAGATGGCCACTTAGAAGATGACTAATAGACACCCTGTCTTGATAGCTATGGCAGTTAACCAGATCATTCCTTCATACAAACGCTGAAATTTCTCATCTTCATTTCAAGTACATTCCGCAAAATCAATGCATTCACAAATTCATTCCTATTTTTGGCTCAAATTGGTTATTTTCTGTTGCCATAGAAACTATTGCCAAAATTCAGATAAGATTATAAGCTTAGTGCTTTAAAAGCTCATCTGGTAGAAATCACAATCATTTTCCGTGTTGTAAATACACTTTTTGTAAGGTCAATATTGGAGGTTCAAGAATCATTGTCTGATTACTATTGATTCTGTGGAACTGAGTGATGTTATTTTATCACATGATAATCCCTGTTAAGCTACTCATTCATCACTGCTATCATCCATAATATAAAACAGGAGAAAGATTAGTTTTCAAAAATGTATAATAGCATTACTCCCCGCAAGTGGTACTGTTACTACCGCTCCGCACGTATTTTGTGCCTGCAATGTAACCACGTGTTTCTGAAACCCGACTCCTTGTAAGTTTGTCATTTTGAAAGTGTGCTTGTGGAACCACAGTTAGTAGAGTGGAACTCAAAACAGTCAGTAAGTTTTCTAACTTGTATTTCAGCCTTTTCCTTGTGAACTTTTGAACATCGAACTTATCATAAGCATGTATTTTGATTCTAGAAAACCTAACTCGTTATGCGTAGGATATTCAAACTTATTTGGACCTACTTCATCGTGAATTTGTTTGAACTTGACTTTGTTGACTCGGCTCTGGATCTATTTGTCTTTTGAAACCTGGAATGTTTATGGAATAAAGATACAGTTTAACATACGCAGAGTTCGAGTTTTCAACTTTGGGTGGCAACAGTTTTTGACTATTTAAGAGTTTGTAATGGATGAAGACATGTGAAAGCAGTGGAAGAGTGTTCAAAGATGGCCCAGTGTGAAGATTTGTTTAGCTCTACGTCAACCGAACGGCCTTTGATGCAAGAATTGTTTACTTTTAGATAAGAGGATTTAGACACTGGATTCAATGAAAAGGACTATGCAACAGCATCCAAAGAAGGAGAGAGTATGGAAAATTTGCAGTTAAGCGAAACGCATGCTTATGAGATCGATTTGGAGTGGAAAAGGGTAGCTTTGTTCAATTCCCACACTGGACACATGGGAAATTTGAGAAGGTTTCACAACAGGCTTATGGATTTGATGAAAGAAGATGGAGCTCCGGAAGATGTTTTGAACAGATGTCATCAGTTTTTATGAAGCTTGGTGTAAGTTTGTGAATGTTCATTAGCATATAGTATTATGTATATATATTTCTTATTAATAAGTAATTTAAGTAGTGTCCCCAATTAGTAGGCCTGACGGCAAGCTAGAAGATTAGACACTTAAATAAAGTTGTTGATTGATTGATTGATTGATTCATGACAATTAATAACAGTTGTTGAACGAATATTATGGTGGGGACTCTCATGTGTTAGATAAGGCCGTAAAAAGTTGTGATGAACAAATGGAGCGAAAACTTAATCGTGATCTTTCTGTGAAGTTATGGCTGGAAAGGAGTGAATCAGGGAGATTAGGAACTGAAGGCAATCCTGATGTGGTTTTGGAGAAGGCAAGCAAAGATGGGCACAGTGTCATTTCTAGATCAAGTTCAAGATTATCCTCAGTGTCTCAAAAGAGGGAGAAACTAGTTCTAGCTCAGCTAAACCTTCACATACTTAAACTTAAGCAATTATTGGATGAAGAAGAACGAGCTATTAGAGCAAAAAGGAAGTTATTAGAAGCTGAGATGAAGGCAGAAAAGGCAGCTGTATCACTTGTAATTTATGAGGATGACCTGAACGAAAGGAAAACAGACATTGATGAAGATCTTTTGCCCTATATGCGCCCCTCCTCACTACAGGTTCCTAGACAGAAAAGTGCCGCACAAACTACTGAGACCAGTTTGGAACAAAGAACACAATCAAGTTTATCTGTGACAAACCCAGCAAGCAAGAGTACTAGCCCCTCCTTACCCCATCTTCCCTTATTAATGCCATCATTGTTTTCCAAATGTTCTTTGGGTGGTAATGCAGTAATTGGACAGTCAAAAGATTCAGTGAGTGCAAGTCAAACTTCTTCCATTAATGTTGCAAATGGGACTTCATGTGCACCAACACAGAGAGTGATTAGTCAGTGTGTCAGAGTCTTGGTCTACAAACTGGGAGAGTCCACTGGCCCATACAGTACCTTGCAAAGTTCTTGGCACCAACTGACAGAAACTCAGCAAAATAATGATGGTTTGGAATTGGTTAAAACATTGAAACAGGTGGTGGTGATGCCCAAGGTGTAGTATCAGCACTTTGACGGTGACCCACTGAAGTGTGCCACCATTTTTCACAAGTTTACGACAATTTGGAGAAGGATAACTCTGATGACTCCCGAAGATTACAATTTCTCATCCAGCACTGCACGGGTAAAGCAAGGGATGCGATTGAAAGCAGCTCTAACTTGCCTGCTAGTGAGGGTTACCGAGTAGCGAAGGAAACATTGTGTGAGAACTTTGGAAAGTCACACGTAATTGCAGGGGCCAAATATAGAAGTTACTGAATTTACCTAACCTTAAGAATGCAGATGGAGCGTCTCTGTTAGAATTTAGAAGACAATTGGATACTGCAGACCAAACACTGACTGCAATGGGCATTGAATATGTAGCTGACCTCAATCACATGAACACATCGAGAGAACTTGCTGAGAAGCTGCCAACAATTCTTAGAGCAAAATAGACTGAATGCGCTGGGAAGATAATTGATCCAGGGCGTAGACTATGCTAAGTCCATAAAAGACAGGGCGAAGTTGGTGGACAACAAGTTCAGGCAAGACATGAACAGTGTGTTTGCAAGAGACACTAACATGTGGAAAAAGAGAGTGAATTCTGATGGAACTTCACCACAACTGGAAACATTCGCGACAGGACATTGTCTGAACAGTCGTGGACAAACTGGAATCTTAAATGCACAAATTGTTTGTTTCATTTGCTCAGGGCAACACGAGGTTTGGAAGTGTGAACTTTTAAAGGCTTACACCATAAAGAAAAAAGGAAGATTGTGCAACAAGGTGGACCTTGTAACAAGTGTCTAGCAAAAGGTCACATTGCTAAGCATTGCCCAAAAGTGAATTTCAAGTGCCAACACTCTGAATGTGGAGGAGGTCACCACTAGCAATGAATCAAATGAGAGAGATGCAAGACGGTGAAATCAGAAAGCTGGATCAAGAGATGTGAACCCCTAACAGCAGTTGCAACCAAGTGAAGTGCCTGTTAGATCTCGTAATGAAACGGGTCGGTAATGGTAATGGAGTAGCTGTGGCTGCTACTGGAACTGGAGAAACGCGGGTGTGTCTTGGAATCATTCCAATCAAAGTTCAAGGTAAAGGAGGCTGTAGAGTGATTGAGACATATGCTCTTCTTGACAATGGCTCTGAAGTAACATTGTGCCATGAACGGTAAGTGAAGAAACGTGGATTGGATGGTGAAAGATTTGAATTCACTTTGACTTGAATGACAGGCTCTCAAAAGGTGAATAGTAAATTGGTGGATCTTTTGGTGAAATCGATTGATGATTCTGTAGGCGTGGAACTGTCCAAAGTAAAAAGTGTTGTTAATATGCCAATTTCCACAAGTTGCATCGCATCGCAGAGAGAAGACCTTGTTCGCTGGACTCATTTACATGGCATTGACATTCCCAGTATTGAAGATGGAGAAGTTTCTCTTCTGATTGGTTTGAAGAAAAGACCAACACTTTTCCTCCCGCTTGAGTTAAAGACTGGAGATAATGAGCCAATAGCCATACAGTATGGTTTAGGGTGGACTGTGATGGGTCCAATGGGCAACCAGAAAGAAGATCATGATTGTTCAGTGAACTTTGTGTTTACAAAGGATTGTCATGTGCAACAAGGAAACCTTCTGAGAGATAAAGTTTTCAGGCAACGAATCAGCGAAGAAACAAAGAAGTTGAAGGACGAGAATGAAACAGCGCAGCACATCAAAGACAAGATGGACAAGATGGACAGCTAGATTACCGTGGCGAGATGACCCACCATACTTACCCAGTAACAAAGTGATGGCAGAGCAAAGACTGGATCTTTTAAGAAAATGGTTAAGTAAACACAAGACCTGCATGAAAAATATTGTTCTGCAATTCAAGACTACTTAACAAAGGGATATGCAGAGAAGGTGCCAGAGAATTAATTAGACACAAAAGAGCAGCCAGTGTGGTATCTACCCCACCACGATGTAACACACCTCATGAAGCCCGGTAAAGTTAGATTGGTCTTTGATTGTACTGTAAAGTATCATGGAATATCTTTGAATCAACAGTTTTTGCAGGGCCCTGACTTCACAAATCCACTAGTAGGAGTGTTGACCAGGTTTCTGCAAGAAACAACAGCCATCGCCGCCGATATAGAAGGAATGTTCCATCAGGTTTATGTTTACCAGAGGGACTTTGATGTGTTAAGGTTTCTTTGGTGGCCAGATGGTCAACTCAATGAGCAGCCACAAGAATACCGAATGGTAAGACATTTGCTGGTGCTACGTCCTCGCCAAGGGTTGCTAACTTCTGTCTAAAGAAGACTGCACCGATTTATGGGACAGAATTTGATCCTGATGTAGTCCAAACCATTGAAAGGAACATTATGTGGATGATTTGATGAAGGTTGCTGCTACTCCCACAACAGCAGTATGGCTTTCGACACAGCTAAGAGAACTGCTAGTAAAGTG